TAACATATCCTCTATGTTACTTACTATAATTCCTGGCGCGATGCCCTATCCATACGCACTGGGATCATTTTGTACCCCTGGGGTTGTATTTTTCGCATTTTAGAATACTTCTAGTACGAAGATCGTTTTGAAACTTTCAGTATTTCTCAAAAAATCATTTTGACAGACTGCTATGCAAAGCGTACGAATCGGATTAACGAGCAAGTTTCCTCTTTGGAAAGTGGTGGCACAGAGTTCCCCACGTCGTATGGATACGATAATAAAACAGGACGTACGGATAGGGTTAAGTGGTGGCACAGAGTTCCCCACGTCGTATGGATACGATAGTAAAACACGGCGGGCGGATAGGATTGACATCCTCTAACATTTCCCCCTATCTTCCTCCACAGAACGAAAGCCTGTACCGATGTGCCCTTAGGTCACATCCACTAACATTTCCCCTATGTTACTCACTATAATTCTAATAGTGTTAAATCTATACCATTTCACCGTTTTTTTCTCTATAATTCCTGGCCCGATGTGCCCTTAGTTAACACACTCTAACATTTCCCCACCTGTGGGTGGTTGGTGGGTGCTCTGGTTTGGTTTGCTCCTTCTTTCCTATAAAATATCTATCGTCCTTATCCCCCCTTCTTCTTTTTTATGTTTGTTACTATCTTGTAACATCTCTAATCTTCTGGCGCTCATATGACCTCAGGCAGTTGCGAGCGCCGTAAAACCTCTACTAAATTTCCCCATCTATATTCCTCACTATAACTCCTGTACCGATGTGCCCTTAGTTCACATCCTCTAACATTCCCCCTATGTTATTCACCTATAACTCCTGTGCCCTTAGTTCACAAACCTCTATCGTTTCCCCTATATCTTCCTCCCCAGCACGAGAGCCTGTACCGAGGGCTGTTACGCTGCCTACTGCACCCTCTGGGCGCCACAGAGACGGAGGTGGGGTTCAGGCCCGGGGATTTGGTGGACCACCTGAGGCAGGTCAGTCTGTGGACAGTTGGGGTGATTGATTGATTGATTGATTGGTTGATAGATTGTTTTGTTTATTTGGTTAACTTAAATAATCTCACATTTGATACGACAATGAAAAATGTGTATGTGTGTGTGTGTGTGTGTGTGTGTGTGTGTGTGTGTGTGTGTGTGTGTGTGTGTGTGTGTGTGTGTGTGTGTGTGCTTGTTATTCATACCATAACCTAACGTTATAACGGTAGAAAATAAAATCGATGCTTTCATATGTGAGTTACATGGATGGATAAGTAATCAAATTCAGAGGCAGGAGAGGGTAGGTCACTTATCCATCTCTTACTTTTTTCCTTTTCCTTTTTACTTTGTGAAAACTGCTTATTTTCAGTATTGCGGCCGTTTCCATAGCAACCATAGACTTAAACAAAGAAAAAAAATTACATTTTACAGATGTTTTCCTGTTATACCTGCTTGCCATAAGGCTTTATCTGAAAGGTCACGATTATCAAGAGAGGTTTATATAGGTTTATAAGCCAGCCCATAATTTGTCCATCATTTTCCCATGATTAAAAAAAATTCTGTTCTTCCTGTAGTATGTTGCACATAATGGCTCACTATAATACCCAACTGCCATCAGGGATAAAGTGTTTTTTATTTCTCTGTTGTTTTGACTTACCTTATCAGGTTTTCAACGTGGACCAAGACGATCATGAGTACTTCGTCAGAGACGAGATACACAACAAAGTGAGTCAGATAAGATAAGATAAGATGAGATAAGATAAGATAAAATAAGATTAGATTAGATCAGATCAGATGAGATCAGATAGATTTTACTCTGTGTTTCAATCTTCATCTTTTGGATTTTCTCTTTTTTTAGGAAGGATAAGTTAAGATAAGATAAGATAAGATAAGTTAAGTTTAGTTATGATAAGATAGGAAGATTAAGTTAAGATAAGATAAAATAAGAAGCGACAAGGCAAGGCAAGACAAGTCAAGATAAGATATGACAAGACAAGATAAAACAAATCAAATTAATGTTAATTTTCCTGACACTTTTTCATTTTGTTTTCTTTTTTAAAAATCTTTTTTTTTGTTCTGAAGGTAGGCCTATTAAAGAAATAGATGCTAAACAAAACTAGATCTAATAATAATAGATAGCATTTGTATAGCGCAAATCCCCGCTCAACAGCAAGCTCTATGCGCTTCACAATCTATACTATTACCCCAGCAGACCTGAGAGAATTATGAAACCACCTCAACTTCATGGGAAGCATACAGTGCAAGCTGCTGTATAGGCGCTAAAACACTAACATACTGACAAGATCTTTCACTGTCTATAGCTGGGTACCCATTCCCACTTGAGTGAAGTGAGAAACATTCGTGTAAAGTGCCTTTCCCAAGGACACAACGTCGGGCCCCCAAACCCGCAACCTCACGATTACGAGTCCGGTAGCTTAACCACTAGACCACCGACGCCACAACCCCACGATTACGAGTCCGGTAGCCTAACCACTAGACCACCGACGCCACATCTATAATCAAACTTTTTGCTTTTCAGCCCGGGAAAGTTCAGGCCAGTGTGACGGTACTGGAGGCCAAAGACATGCCGGATAGGACGGCAGGTAAGTGTATAGATGATCACTATGGCAACCAAGAGTCATAGATGTTGCTATGGTTACTGCAAAGCCCCTGAAATGGACGGTTGGCTTATCTGTTTCTATGTATTGATTATTCTGTCACAAAAAGATTATCTGTCCTTTGAGAAAATGTATATTCTAAAGGGAGAAGAGAGCGAGAGAGAGAGAGAGAGAGAGAGAGAGAGAGAGAGAGAGAGAGAGAAAGAGAGAGTGAGAGTGAGTGAGAGAGAGAGAGAGAGAGAGAGAGAGAGAGAGAGAGAGAGAGAGAGAGAGAGAGAGAGAGAGAGAGACGGACAGACAGACAGACAGACAGACAGACAGACAGACAGACAAACAAAGACACAGCAAATAAATAGGTGCTTTGTGCAACACCTTGTCCTATGGTTCAATTAAAGATAAATGCACAGATGGATTTATATGGCGAGTGCCAAAAAACTCTAACAAAAAACGACAACAAAATCAACCAAACAAAAAAAAAGATGGATAGAAAAATAAACAGACATATTATGAATAGATAGACTGCATCATCCTGATTGTAATCTTACCTAAGCAACAAAACCTACATTGCCTTCTCCCCCCCCCCCCCTCCAATCCCTCTCCACCAACAGACAGTGGCGGCATTTATTGCCTGCTCACGCTGGTTCAGCCCACGCGCCCCGGCAGCAAGACGTACTCACCCAAGAACTCCCCCCGGAACTCCCCAAAGTCCAGCCCCAAACTGCGCAAGTCCCCGCCCCGCTCCCCCTCCCTGGACAGTTACGACGTTCTCAGGACTCACGGCTCAAAGTCGCTCAAGGACCCCAAGTGGAACGAGGGATTTCATCTGTGAGTCTTTGTTGAATTTGTCGTTTTCTTGTTGTTGTTGTTGTTGTTGTTGTTGTTGTTGTTGTTGTTGTTGTTGTTGTTGTTGTTGTTGTGTTGTCTTTGTGTGTGTGAAGTAGCCTATCCGTTCGAAATATTTGGAGCCCCGAAGAGCGTGCTCTTCGCCAGAGCCACCGCCTCTCTTGGGTAGCGGGTGAGGCAGTCCAACCTCCCTGAATCCTCCCCAAAGAGATGCCACTGCCGGTCCTCCGTGGCGGGGTATCTCTGCAGCCAGTGCTCCAAATCGTGTTGTTGTTGTTGCTGTTGTTGTTGGGGTGGGGGGGGGTTTGGGGGGGGGGGGGGGTGGGTTTGTTGCTTTGCGTTCTTGCATAAAACGCATCATCATGTGCGTTAATCGAAGTCTGTCATCTAATCAGATGTCGTGGTCTCTGTCAATAATGATGACTGCACTTCCACTTCACGACCTCATTTCTTTCTTGTCCTATCTCCATTTTTTTTAAACATTGAAAATGTGACTTCTTCTGTAGCTCACTCTTTGTTACGTCACCTACTGTTTCCACTGTTACTAGAAATGGAGATAGAACAAGAAAGCACTGATGAGGTCGCAACTTTTCTTTTAAGGTACACAAAACTCACTGTCAGGTGCCAGGAGCTCTGGTGTCGTTTGCTCATTCTTTTCTATCAAACACCTATCGTCCTTATCTCCCCTCCTTCTTTTTTTATGTTTGTTACTCTTTTGTAACACCTCTAAGCTTCTGACGCTCAGAGCAGTTGCATCATCATCATCCAGTGCCAGATCTGCGACAGACATCGGCGATCATGGTTCTCCATTCATTCTTTTGCTCGGATACTCTCAAAAAAGCTACGTTTCCCTGATCTTTCCCTGTTACCCATTTGTTTAGGTTCCCTAAGTATGTTGTTCTTGGCCTACCCCTGCCTCGTTTGGCTTCAGTTTTGCCAGTGAGAGCTAGATGTTCAAGACCATTATGTCTATTCAGGTGTCCCAAAAACTGCATTTGTCGTTTCCTCATTGTTTTTTTTAACATTGAGCGTCCCACGTGGGCAAGCGCCGTAAAAACTCTAGAAAAACTGAACTAACTTTTTTTTCCTGCTCCAGGGATATTGACGAGATACTGACGGACGAGATTCACCTCTGCGTCTGCTATCAGGATGATGCGTCACTTCCTGCTGACATGGTCAAACAGCCGGAGAAAAACGGTGCCATCAAAAGGTAAGTGGGTGGGTGGGAACACTTTCCCTGAAAATGTGTTATTAGTGAAGGTGTTTATAGGGCGATAGGATTATAGTATGACCGAGAAATCTCTGTCTGTGGGCGGTTGGCGGGTGCTCTGGTGTGGTTTGCTTCTTCTTTCCAATCCAACATCTATCGTCCTTATCTCCTTTCCTTCTGTTTTATGTTTGTTACTCTCTTGAAACACCTCTAATCTTCTGGCGCTCAAATGACCTTATGTAGTTGCGAGCGTCATAAAACCTCTTCTAAAACAATCTCTCCCCTCCCCCCTCTTGGGCTTCTGAAGCAAGTTTTGGATGTTATCGGTGGATTGATTTTCTTCATAAATCAAGAAATTCAATCACTGCTCTTTACCTCTGACAGACCTCACCGAGGGTAGCCATTTTGATGTGACGTCATTAGGGCCAAAATGAGCAAGTACTTGTGAGCTGAATTTAATTAATTTTGAGCAATTACTTTTTGACTCCCGCTCATGAAGATTTTATATTGAACTCAACAAATAATGTTACTTTCTCTCCTTCTGTTTCAGTTTCTTCAAAAATATCCTGCAGGCCAGCTCAGACCACGAAAAGCTCATCCCTGGCTGCATTGGCAGGATCATTGTTCCCATTCGGGTGAGTGGAAAGCATAAGACATTAGTGTATGTAATTTGCTTGAACGCTCAACGCCCTTATCAACACTATTATTAGATTATGTAAGACGCGCACATAAAAAAAAAATTCTTGTTATTTATCT